TTGGCATTTATGTTGCAGAGCATCAGGACTGACCCATACTGCAGCTGCCAACCTGCTCTTGGCAGCATTGAGTGCTCTTGGTTGGGGTACACAGGGCCTGCTGCCTGTTTGGAGAGGACTTATCTCACCTTTAAGGGACAGAAACAGAGCAAGCACTCAGACACTAATCACATGAAGGGCTTGGTGCACTTTGCATCAATAAGCATTCACAAAGACACCACATATCTTGCTAAACCACTCGCTTAAGATTTCTCTTCTGGTGGAATCACACCATTACAAACAGGGAGGTGAAGCCATGGTAAGCTGATTTCTGTCCCCCCTTCCAAAGAAGAGCCCCACACATTTGCAGACAAGCATGCACATGCCCCCTGGATATTCTCAGCCCCCAAAGATTCCAGCCTGACTTGCTCTGGACCACTTGGCATGCGATAGCAGCCATGCACATTTGGCAGAGACATTTTTAGAAGCGTCCAAGCTATGAATTCACCCTTCCATTTTGGTAAAGCCAGTTATGTGGAAAGCATTTCCAAAGCAGGACCTCAAATACAGACTCGATTTCCCCTCAATTCTTGGAAAGGAGGGAAAAAAATAATTAAAAAAAATAAAATCAACAATATTACTCATTTATTTTCCCACAGAGTTACCTTGCATTATTCCTGTATTTGCTGATGCTATAATTGATAACAACACAATTAAGTCAAATCAGTCTTCTCAGCACAGTCACACATTAGAACTATTTCAAATTCTTTCCCTCAGATTCGAGTTTCACTACAAACAAAAAAGGCAACTTTCCTTGAAAACACACATGTAACTAGATGCTTAGGAATTGACCTTCAGGGACGTACTGGGGAGATATCCATAACACCAGCTATGGCAACACGGATACCTGGCAGGTGCCCGCTCCTTGGCCTTTCCATTGTAGCCGTGTTGGAATGGAGACCAGGATCACTTCCACATCCACAGCCTGCTAACCACACACTGGCAACACAGCTAAATATCCAACAATGGTGTTTGGCTCCTGACACACGGGGGTCAACTCCCCATCATTTTCCCCTTTCCATAGGTGTTCAGAAACAGCAAACCAATCTCAGTGGTTAGACTCCATAAGCAGGAGCTGACGCAGACTCTCACAAACCAGCAAGCTCTAAACCTCTAAATGTGCTGAGGCATCAGAACTGCCCCATCCTCACTCCCAAGTGGCTCCAGCTGCAGAGCAAAACACCCATAGTCCTTTAAATGGCCTCAGCCCCCTTTGCTGGAGGACAATTCACCACCACCCAGCTGATGAGCGGGAGTTCATTAACCCACAGCTGCTTGATTGCTCCCAGCTGCTTGTCTCAGACCCTGAACTCCACAGCAAGATTTCAGGCCATTTTTAAACTCACAGCAGCTCCTTGCTCCTCATTTTGAAGGAGCATTACTCTTTGAAGGAAAACAATTTTCACTACAACTGTTCTGTTACAGTGAATCCCACCATCAGCTTGCAGTGACCACATCCAATACCTGTTTGCTTTTGCTTGCGCACGAACCCTCCCGCACAGCCGTAAACACTTCTGCAGAGCCCTCTTTCTTCCTCTGAAGCTCCTCATATACATTCTGCAGTCATGGAGCTCCTGTTCTCAGGAGGACTCCAACTCTTAGCCCCAAGTCATGCCTGAGCCCAAAAGGGCAGAGGGAGCAGAGGCCATCTTTTTCTCACCATCCTTGATGGGTCTGAGGCACTTGTCAGGGCAAAGCTGAAGAGTAAAACACCTAAGAAAATATTATCCCCTTCCAAATAAACAAGTGTGATGCCAGTTTTTACCCTTCACAACACAACCTCAGGCATACAGCAAAGCAAGACCTTAAAACACACCAACCTGGGTGATTCAAACCCTATCTTCATCATCAGAGTTGGCCAGAGACCAGTGTGCTGCCCCAAAGGCAGCAAAAGGCAGCAAAAGGCAGCAAAGCCCCCCTGTAGACACAAAAGAACTGCACAAGCCTAACTTTCCATGAACAAACACTGCAAATATCAGACAACAAAACCCAGACACAAGCACCTCCTCTTCCCATGGTACTGCTCCCACTCACTTATGCAAAAAATCAGATCCACAGTCCTACCTTGAAGCCAGGAACGAGGCGAGGAGCAAGCCAGACACCATACTGCAGCCTGCAGGGATGCCCTGTGAGCACACCAACCCAACCACCCCCAGCTTTGAGCTATATGGGCTGATTGAGGCATCCCACTGTGCTTTGGGAGGAACCCAAGGCACCTACCACCAGCTCTGGCTCTGCTCCAGCACCCAACCATCAGGCCAGGGTGTCTGTTGAGATACCACTTGGGGTGCTTGGCCCCACACATTGGGGATTCACCAAATCACCCCTCCCACCGCAAAGAGGAAATAACATTTATCTTCTTGTCTCTGCCAATTATTTCTTTTCATTCTGTGGCCCATCAGGAGCCTGGATACTTTGTGGCTGCTGATGGAAGGAAATGGGTCAAGTACCAAGTGCTGCAGATCAACACAGGGATTATTTCAACTCTTCCCCTCTCCCAAATTGTCCAGTTGTCCTTGATCTTTTTTCACTTATTTCCCCTGTCTCTAAGGACTGTAAATTGACAGTTTAGACAGAGCAGGTGTTTGCAAAAGGACTAGATTATTTGTTTAATGAAATCCGGATACAACACAAAGCAAATGCCACAAGGAGGGTCCTCAGAAGTTGTTTGCCCTCAGTGTTCCAGCAGGTCAAGGTCTGAAAGCTACGATTTCAGTAACAAGAGGAGAACAGAGCAGAACCCAAGACATTCAACAACAGACCTTTGATTTTCCCACATTACAATCCCCACCCAAAAATATCATCCCTTCGAAACAAACTTTACTGGAATTCTGAGTGCTGTGAGAATGCTGCTGCTGCTTTTTTAAGGTTGATCTGTTCTGAGGGGAGCACGTTGCAGAGATAAACCCAGTGTAACTTCCTGCAGACAGTCGCGCTGCATTGCTGCTGAGCGTCCCGGTATCTCAGAGATTAGCAACAACCTATTTTTACATTGCATCCACACGAGGGAGGGAACACTGAGGCAGCCAGTGCCTGACCACCTGCAGAGACAGTGTTTCACAAAGATGAGACTGTTTTCGAGCTGGCTGAAAAAGCTAAAGCGGTGCTGCTGTATCTGACCTAGGATCAGTAAGGAGTCTTAGAATCATAGAATGGTTGTGGTTGGAAAGGACCGTAAGATCATCTAGTTCCAACCACCTGCAATGGGGGAAAAAATCCTGAAAAGGGAACCTTACTGACGTCTCTGGAGTTGCATAAAACAGCACTGCACTGCTGATATGGAAAATGGGAACTGCTGAGCAGCAATTCATTAGAAATATATTTATAATCTCAATGACCTTCTGTCTTAAATACTGTGTTTAAACTGTATTTCCCCAGATGGGGGGACAGGTGGACACACTTTTATCACCCTCTGTATGTTTGTACCCATCTCTGCAGAGGGGCACAGGGACAAGTGGGCTCCAGCAAGGGCAGGAACCTGATGCTAGAGATGATAAGTGTGAAATGCAACGGTCCATATCACTGAGCTGAATGAAACTTGCTCCACTGTAGCCCAGACTTGCAGACTACATGATGCTCTCCTTGGTTAGCAGTCTGCTCATGAGACTTCCTCCAAAGCAAGGCTTTTACCATTACTAGAAAGCACATGTGCTGACTTTGTGCAATGTATGTTTTTTGAGCTAATTCCTCCCTTATTCAAAAGATAATCTGCACACTGTCAAGTTTATTTCAATCTATAGGTAATTCTGCATCCCATGAAAGGCTGCAGGAAGGCTGCACTGAACTACGATGAATAAATGATCAGAAAAAGCCACATCCATTCTGTCTGCATATTACATGACTTCCAGGGCAAGAAAAGGCTCCTAGGCTCCTGAATCCCATGCAGTGGTGCCCTCTGTGGGATGCACCAACCCTAGTGCAGAGGTTTCCAGACCCTGTGTTACTGCCCCAAGAAGAGGCTCAGGTATCAACTCTTCATGCAAAGCCTTAGATTCCAAACTCCATTACAAATTCCAGCTTCTCTTGTTGGTGCACATAGCCACACAATCACCACTTCAACTGCTCTGTGCTCCTGTTTGGATTACTACAACATACCACCGCATCAGTATTTAACCAAGGTTGCAGCAGCTGCCAGCAAAAGGTTAAATTATGATCACTGACAAGATCTAGCAACTTAGTATTATTACAGTGACAAACTGATTGACCTCTCTGAACACTCTATTGAGAACTACAGGGGTAACCTAGTCTCAATTGTCACAAACTCCTATACTGCAATTTGTTGCTGATGTATTTCTTTGGGTACCTATAGCCCTGCCTTTTAAAAAAGTTTATTTCTAACTACTAAATTAAGGGAGTATTTAAGCATTGTGTGAGAATTTCCTAAACACAATGTCAACTTCACCAGTCAGCTCTGAGAAATACTGAAACAATTTCCAGAAAAGATGACATCAGTTTTAAGAACACTGCAGTGCAGGTTTTGGTACTTCAAGGCACTACATGGAGTATGGCAGCTTGGTATTTATGATATTAAATCAGTTGCCATTACTAAAGCGTAAGAGAGAGGGAAGGTAATCACTGTAGAAGATTTTACTGAGAAAAGATCAACCGACTGTATTAGTAATAAAAACTTTCCACTGCACAACTTGGCAGTATTTTGCAAATACAGAGTATTAAGTAGAATTTTAGGAAGAAAAGGAGAAAAAAGGCTTTGGATTTCAGCAGATGGGCAATGTAATTCTCAAATAGGTTGCATGAATTAATAGTTACAAGTACAGCTCCTGTTTTTGCTTTGTGCAGAGCCCTCCCAAGGCCAAAGGAACAGAACCAGACTGCGTTTGCCACACTCCCAGGAAACATAATTCATAATCAACCATTGCTGTTAAGTATTAAGCAGAATTTTTATACTAGGAATTATTCAGGCTCTTTCACTCCATTGGACTTTGGTTTTAAACAGAAGTCAGTTCACGTGGATACAATAAATAGTTTATTAATGGAATGTATGCAAGTTTCTCTCTTCCATCTTTCCTCTTACTCTCAGCACCTTACACACAGATGTCAAAGGAGCTTCAAGTCCAAGCCAAGGACCAAAGTTAATTTCAAGGCAAAATGAAGAGAGGTTAAAAGTTAAGACTGGCACCTTTGAGTACCTAGTTCCTCAAGTGTTCATCTGGTTCCTCAGACTAACAGGCAAATTGGTGTTTCTTCTTTCCACACCTTGATCTACCTCCTTCTTCCTGACTCGTGTTCATTTAAGCTCTTCTTAGACAGGTCACATGCTCCATGAGGACAGTATAAAGTCACGCTTGCTCTAACGCTCTTTCAGCTATTGCAATATCCCTTTTTGGTTTAAATTCAAAAGCCCTACTGTTATCTCTTTGCAATCTTTTGTAACAATTGAGTTTATCTTTGGAATTTTACAAAAATGGAAAGAGTCTTTTTTTCAAAATATAGAGCACTGTGGCCAGGAATAAGGCGAGGGCGAGGAAGATGAGCAGCTTGTCTGTCAGCTCCCTGCGATTGTACTTGGTTATTAGCTTCCGCCCCAGCTGAATTGTCCCAGACATGGACTTAAATTCTTCATTTGCTTCCAGGATGGTTCGTGAAGAATTGGCTGAAATTGAGGAGAAAAAAGAAAATATCAGCTGGTTGTATTTCAAAAATACCTGACAATGGATATAAAGATGCAGTATTTGGTAATAGAGGTAAGCGCCTGTGAGCTCCTTCTGGGTCAGACTGACTTATAGGTAAGACAAATGCAGACTCTGCTCTTACAGAAGCTTTCACACCTCAGTAGTCCTGATGTGCTAAGGAAAAATGCAAAGCAAAACCAGAGTACTGAATGGCTTAAAGGCTCTATGTCCTGTTCCTGAATTTTTCAAGTTTTTGCTTTCCAAATAAAATCCAGTTCACATATTTAATGGGAAAAAAATCAGTGCTACCCGAGAGCTCACTGGTGCCAGAGACACCAATAGAGAAATCACCATCACTGTCAGCATCCATTCAAGCAGCAATGGGATAGATCAGTATTTGAGTATAGTAACTGCACAACTCAAACTGCTCCCCCTTGCCAGAGCAGTAAATCAGTGTGATTCAGATGGGCTTGCTGACAGTGAGAAAGCAGCATCAGCAGTCAAAGATCCTTAATTGCTCAGCTCAATGTAAACAGTTTTTAATAATTATTTTGACATAATTTTTTTTTTTTCCCTTATAAGAAATTAACTAGAGGAAAAGTGATGACTGGTCTCAACCAAAGGCAGAATTTGAGAATATGCCAAAACAGCAAGATGGAACATTGGCCCCTTTCAACCTCTCTTTCCCTGTGAGAAAACAAACAAATACCCCAAACTCTTCAGCTTTCCTCCTTTCAAATTATTAAATGACAGCAAAAGCCCAGGAGTTCCCTTTTTCTTCAACTATGGAATGCACCCCACACATTGCATACATACAGAATGTGTACAACTGTAAATGCTGGTACATCACTGTGCTGAACTGATTGATGAAAGAAAAGTCAAACTCCAAGCATGTTGCCTGGTTCACAAAAACAAGCACAGCAGAACTACATCCGTAAGGTTCTTTAAACCATTACATCTTAAAAGAGCATTCTGATCCAAGTGAAAATAGAAAACTTGTTTCTCATCATTAATGACAAAGCAGAGCTTCCCCACTTCACAGCCACGCATATTCACTGTGTGCTAGGAAAGGACTTGATAAGAAAAGGAAATTCTAACTACTGATTCAGAATTTGCAGCTGGGGTTTGTAAATGACCTTTGGCAGTTTTTCCCTTGATGAACTCCAAGTGCTGTTCAGTCAGAAACAGGATGAAAAAATGACTGCCAAACTGCCTTTTTAATGGGAGAAGAAACATGCTACTTTTGCAGGAACAACCAGTGCCCAGCTGCCATCCTCAGACAGGGACAGAAAACAAGGAGGGAAAAAGTTGTGTTATTTATCCTCATCTTTAAACTGTTCCCTCTCCTGCCCAAAAGCGAGCTAGTAAGAGGCCCAGGCAACACAGATCCAACATCCAAGTGCTTCATGAATCACCAGTTCTGACAGGTCACTTGATTTATGGTCTTGGGAGTCTAAGCCAAAGAACTGGGTGAAATCTTGGTTTCACAGTCCCTGATGCACTGCTGACAGAGCAAGTGACCTTGGGTTCAAGTCACTTGATCTCCTCGTCTCTTAGTCATCCCAGCTGGAGACTGGGTGAAAACAGTCTTCCAGCCATACCAAGTTTCCTCTGTGTATGGACTTGTACCTACGCTTTTATTTTCCCTGCTGTTACCAAATGCATGCCACGACAGTAGCACTGAGAAACACCAAACACGCTCTCAGCACTGTGTGAGCTCACAGTGCTTTTACAATTGCTTTAATGTGAAACTAAAACAGAAGATCCTTATCCTGCCCCCTTTTCATAATCACAAAACAGAAATCCCCAACAGCTCCACACACTGTACACTATTATGTTGCATTTATGTCCAACTGTTAGAGGAGCTCTTTTGGATGATCCTTTAATTATCATCTTAGTACATTCTCCTACAGCAAAGCAGGTTTCCACTATACTCCACACCATGTCAGTTTGCCCCTACCCATGTTAACAGGACTGGTGAAAGGTGCTTCAATGATCCAAACCATACCCAAACACCCAAATAACATCCATACCGAGGGTTTGCACAGTCTCCTCACTCTGCTGGACTTGCTGTGACATCATCCTGCTAATGCCCATCAGACTCTCTGTGATGTTACTTGCACTCTCTGCCAGACTTTCCTTTGTAGTCTTCCTGAGAAAGTGAAAAAGTAAAGCAGGAATTATGCCCCCAGGTACTGCAGGAAAAACGCTGCTATCACAGAGTCTAGAACAGAGCTTGGCACCACACATCTCTGCCAGTGTACAAAAGACACAACTACTTTTTACTGAGTAATAAATTCAGATTATCTTCACTAAATAATCAAAACAAATTACAAAATATTAAGGCCACAAGCCAAAACAGTGGCTAGGGGCTCAGAATCTCATGGGAGCCCATACTGCACCACTTATTCCTCCATGACTGTGCACCTTCATGAGCTGGTATGGAAACACTGATACAAACTTTATTATCCTGGGTATCCCATTTGTTGCTTTCAATACAAAAATGATATATGATTACGTCCACTGTCCACTTTTGCATGTGAGAACAGCTTGTATAATGATCCATTACTTGTTTATAATCCTGACTAGAATTAACATAAAAGATAGTCAGAACAACTCTGAAGGTTAATTTATGCCCTCTTCCACCTAGACATGACAATGCCAAGAAAACCTGAAGTTATCACAATCCTTAACAGTTTAAATCTCCATCAAAGGTAAATGTACTCATAAATAAAAGCTATGTTCCAGATACAATTAAGTAACTTAAAACTGTTATGTCACTTCTATTTAAAACCAGTTAATACAGCACACGCTGTTTAAACCTCAGATCGTACAGTGGGATGGTCCAATACCTTTGCCTTAAGGAGTCTCTTCCCTGCAGCAGTTGATCTTTCTCAGAGTTGTCAATGGCAATTTTGCATGCTAGATTTGCCTTTCTCCAAGCTGCCTGATTGCTGAAATCACAAGAGCACAATGTTATAACATGATGGTATCGCTTTGCAAGCGAAAACAATTTTCACAAAGCAATTACCACTGTAACTGAGCACCCAGATATGCACATGGACTTTATGTTACACCACAGAGTAACAATATCCCATCATGTCATTTCTGCTCCTAAGTGTATTGTTTATGGAGCAAGGGAAGCCAACTATGCCAGCTGGCAGATGACAGACTCTCAAGCCACCTACTTACATTCTCACCTGCTCAAAGGGACAGACCACAGTTAGGGAGTCAGGACAAGAGAAAGGAAAGGAAAAGGGAGTCCTACTCATTCCATCCCTGATCCTTTCTTGGTCTTGGGCAAAACAGCATCATGTCAGCAACTGCATTCGCAAAAGGGATCCGAAAGTCGCTGCTGTACAGAAGGCAGATTATCTCCGGTTTCAGGGGACCAGCTGCCCGACCCACCTGAGCATTTGTTTCTTATGGTTTTCCACTTCCCGCAGCAAGGCTTGTTTCTCTGACTCCTTATCCTGCTCCTTCGCCATCTGTTCCAGCTCCTTTGGTGGAAAGCAGAAACGCGGAAGCCCGATCAACAACTGCTGCCACCGGCAACCCGCACACCGCGACCCCGGCCAGGGAGCGCGTTAACAGCGGATCGCTGCAATAAACTAACAAGCCGCGGCCGGGACTCCCACCCCACACCAGCCGCCCCGCGGCAGGCCGCACGGTGCAGGCCGGTCACCTCACCTGAATGCGGCCACGGAGGTGGCGGAACTTCTCTTTCACGGCGGCATTGAGCTCCGTGAGGGCGCTGAGCGGCCCCGGGCAGTCCCGGATGTCCTGGAAGACAACGGCCTGGTCAGCGCGGCCTTGCGGCGGGCATCACCCCGCACGGCTCGGCTCGGCCCGGCCGAGACTTCCCGCACAAGGCGGCGGCCGCCCCGCAGCCCTGGCAGCGGAGACCCGCCGCGGGGCGGTACCTGCACGGCCGCCTTGATCTCCAGATCGAACCTGACGATCTCCTGGTGGCACACCCGCACCGGCACGCAAGCGCCCGCCGCCATCTTGGGAACGGAGGGGGAGGCCGCGGCCCTGCCGCCCGGCCCGCGGGCGCCCCCTGCGGGCGCCGCCCCGCACAGGCGTGGCGGGGCTTGGCTGGGGTCGCCCGCCGGCGGCGGTACCGTAGCGCTGCCGGTGGTGCCGGTTCTATCTGTGGTTATGGGGAAGGAAAACCCTGAATTCAGGCGCTGTGTTGAAAGCGTGGAAAGGCGATTCGTTAGCAGAGGGGGGCTAAGGCGGACCCCTTTGCCCTTATGAGCCAGAGGAAGGCCCCAAAGCAGCGCTGCCCATGGCACTGGGAGAAGCAGTGGTCGCAGCGTGGCTGCACAGTTCTGCACCCAACAAACCGCCCCGGGTTTCTGCGTGGATGGGAAGGTCTCTGACCCTCAGTACCAGGGGTGGCCGGTGTCCATGTTGGGGGAACAACAGGAGGTTCCGGTTGTGCCCCGGAGAGGAGGAGCGGGAAGACAACGCAACGCGACAGCAGCCCCTTTGCCTTTTCCCCATCTCCCTCCCCGGTGCTGTGCTCCCCTCCTGCCCTCGGACCCTGCTCTGGGACACACCAGGTTTGGACAACGCAAGCTGGTGTTGAAGATGGAGACCAACCAAAGGAGCTGCTGGGCTGCAGCCCGGGCTCTCCCGATGGTCCCACCACGCTGGCCCTTGACAGGCAGCTCACGGCAGAGTCGCTGACCAGGGGGAACACATTCGTTCCCTGACTTGCTCCGCTCCCCTGCAAGGAGAGCTGACAATACCAGGAGGCCCAGGGCCGCACACGCCGCCCGCTGTCAGGTCACACAATGATTCGAGATGGCATTTCCTCCACAATTTTTATTTTAAATTACAAAGGATGTTGCATACATTGATGAATCCGTATCTGAATAGAAGTGCTAGGGATGGGGGGTGACAGAGTAAACAAAGTCAAGAGTTTAATTGTGCCTCTTTGAAAAAAAATAACTGCACAACTATTAACCAACATTTAACATTGCAACTCTTTAACAGATCATGCTTTTAACAAGGTAAATTTATTTGCTAACAGAGACAAGACTTTCAGTAAGTGTTTCTGAGCTCCAGTTGGAAGTTGATTATAGAATAGCAAGGACAGCATTACAATCATGACCCCAAGCACAGGCAGAATAGGATGCCATGTTTTGTTTTCAAATGCTTTTATCTTTTTACCTGTCAACCACCTACACCTGCACGTGTCATCAGCCTTCAGAGTTCACCCAACCACAAATACGGAGCAACAAATGTTACTTGGACATGATGTTCTGCAAGGACCGGTGATTCCAATCAGAATGTATGAATCTGCATCATTATAAGAAACATTAGTAAAAATTAAGTGTTGCTACTAGGTTTTGCTTCTTAATCAGAAGATTTTGGTAGGGCAGAACATGCTCTTGCCAGTAACAAATCCAATCCAGATTTCCTCACAGCAGCTAGTTAACTCACCCAAATTTGATTTACACCCAACTGCAAAATATTCTTAAGAAGTCTGAACATGACTGATGTGCTCTAAAAAGCTTGGAGGTGGTTTGGTTTTCTTTTTTAATGGGAAAAAGAAGAAAGTGTGGCTTAAAATAGCTCTGGCTCCACTTTTAGCTCCACAGCTCATTAGAAAGACAATAAATGCATAGTCAGTATTTGCTCTTGTGGAAGTTCATGAATGTCTAAGAGGCTGAGGATTATAATTCAGTGCGCACACACACCTTCTTATCATGCTAGAAGCATTAGGGGAAAAAGCATGGCATATTGTGAAATGTAAATTGTAGAAGGTTAGAGACATTTTTGTATGCTGCAAAGAAGATACAACCTAAAAGTGCCATCTTTCATTAATGACACTGAAGAATCCCAATTTATATTGGGAGATATTAAAGAGTGGTGTTTTCTCAACATACTAATGCCCTTAATACAGTTACACAAAGAATCAGTCACTGAAGCAGTAACTGTTTGAAATGTACTTCACACAATCCCTGGGGTAAGCAAAATAAACCTCAGCTATGTGCAAGGCTGTGTCAATAAGCCAAGACTACATCTAGCAGCACACTTAACTAGATGATTCCAACTGAAGCCTCCGACTCGAAAAGAAAATCATGATTAGATGCATCCTTGAAATTCAGGTCTCAAGGCCAAAACCAGATCCTAACATTCACGGTACATAATTGGGTTATGCCTCAACAGAAGTTCAGGAAGACTTGCAAGCACGTTTGAGGAACAGAATTGCATCTACTATTTCTGCTGAAGGCAACTTGTATACAACCCTTTGAAATTCTCCTGATAAAGTCTTTTAGAGCTTTAAAAAAATAGCTATGTTTAAATGATTTATCGAGAAGAAAAGCACATCCAGTCTATTTTGTGAATAAGCTACATGTCTTATTAATGAAGGCAAATATCAGATAAATATTGGGGGAGGGGACTTTCTAAAATAAAATCAAAACTGACACCACTGTATTTCAGAAGTATCTGGTTGCTTCTAGATGAGTCAAAATACCCTTTACCCATTTTAAGTTTTTTGTTTGTTTCCTTTAAAAAACACTTTTTCCTGGCCCTTTCAGTATGGAAAAAACATCTATCTATAAAGATTAGGAACTCAACACAGCGGAGCCCAACTCTCACATCAGCTTTACAGCAATGCAACTTCATCAAATCACAATGATTTCAACTGGTATGGTAAGAAAATCCAGCCCATCCACACGTAAACATAGCTTTAGTAGTAAGTCTCTCTCATCCAAAAAGAAGTACTCACCAGGTATCAGTGTATGTGTTCAATAAACCATAAAAGGAAGCGTTAGCAAAAACGGCTTCGGGCTAAAAAAACACCCTTCACGAGCACCCCCACATTTTGCAAGGCCGTTCAAAAACTGGTCTCCCATAGAAATAGAAAAGGACTACTACTGAGAGAAACTGAAATCAGATCTATCCAGACTTTCTTCAGGATGCTTTTATGAGTTCTGATTCAATTTCAGAAGGGTTAGGTTTGAGGAGTTCAGAGGGAATGAAAAACATTTAGTTCTAGATGTACAAGTAAGGCACAATATAAAGCCACATCATCATCTGTTATGAAGGAAGTAGGAAAGGACAAGAATCATACATGGTACAGTAGAACAAGCAGTCCATCAATTCAAAGTGTGGCACCTAAGTTCAGACTGACGAGATCTCAACAAGAGCAGTTATGACAGCATGCTTTTAATATGGAAACAAATTCTAGAGAATCCAGTGTATCAGAAAAAGGAAGAGCTTTTGTTTATATTAAATCAAAAATATATAATTGCTTTTGGATATAGGATTAAAAGTGAATACTCACAATGCCTACACTCAAAAACAAACAAAAAATCCAGGACTTCATTAAGATCCACATACCATGTATGAACACTGAACATCTTTAGAAAATGGTCTTCTCTAAAGATCATCCAAAAATGCATGCCACAATTGCCAAAAAACAGAACATGTACATTTGTTGGTTTTTATACCCTTATAAGATTTTTGTTTGTGATAAGTATACACTAAATGTATATATTTTAATGACACTAGAGGAAGCAGATTGTTACTGGCATTAAAGTACAACCATTTCTAGACGGTTTAAATGCCACAGAGTCCCCTGGTTAAAATGTAAAGCTGCACAGCTTGCCTATGTCACCTTTATGATAAAGTTAAACCAGCAAAAGGTCTTATCTTTACTCTACATTTTACTGCCAGGTTTTATTTATATCAAGTATCGCTGCAGCATTCTGACCAGCCCAGAGTTAGCAGCAAGTGGCAGGAATCATATAAAACGCAGTTTTCTTTTTTTTTGCTTTTTTCTCCTTTTTTTCTTTTTTGTATTTTTTTTTAAACAAAGTGCTTTTCTAAGATATACATACATATAAATAGTTACAAAATAAAGTGTCAACATTAAAAAGCTCAACTATTTAAAAGCTTTTAACTTAAAATAATACATAGAAAACACGAAATGCAAAGGTATGGAACTCACTAAAGATTCAAAGACTACTTTGAAATGCTAGACCAAAATCATATTCTGGTTTTCAGACAAAAATAAAAAGCTATAAAGTTGTATTTGCCCAGTACTTCTGAGCAGTAAAAAAGGGGCTTTTTTAATACCTTGTCAGTTTAATTTGTCACAGAAGTTTTCACCTGATTGCAAAACTGCTCTCAACATTTAGAAATACTGCCTTGCCTACACTGTTTGGATATAGTGTAAGGAACTCTCATATCTGAGCAGTGCGGCAACACCATTCATCAGAAAGGAACAACAGTATTCAAATCTTGGTACAGACATGGCCTTAACTTCACAAGAGACATTCTTTGTCGGGGTTTTATGGGCCGTATGTATCTCCAGAATAACTGCAACATCAGCAATAATTACAATAGGAATACATCTGACCCACTGTGTAAAGCAGCAGCCAACTCTCACCTCACCTTGACAACAACGACGACAACAACAACAACAACAAAAACACCTGAAACAAAACCACCCACATTCCACTCAGATTTTGCAAGTCTTAAGTGGATTTACAAAGTTTTGCCTAAATTGCCCTGGGTATTTGTTTAGTCTCTTGTAGGAAAAACTTTCTCTACAGCTCAGTAGTGGTATTTTGGCCTCCTCCTCCCTTTTGAGTCTTCCAAAATATTTAGACATAAAGTAAGCTGTGTGCACGCTCACAAGTATGTGGCAGGAGTGCCACCTTCATCGGCCACTCTTACTGCGCTATTACCGATCCAGACTTTGTTTTTATAGTACAAGCTTGGATATAAAAATAATCTACTTATAAACAAAAAGGAATCACAGTACAATACAAACTCAGACAAACTAGAAATGAAGTGGAGAAATTCCCCAAAGGGAGCGGGGAAAAAGCCTTCATGGACTTTGCATTTTTCTTTTCAGCAGCTACATTTGAAAATATTTGGTATTTCTATTTTCAGTAAACAGTGTTTTGTCATCTTTAAATAGGGAGAGAAAGAACAGGGAGGAAAAGGAAGGGGGTCCATGAAACCAGAGAATGATCTTGCCTTGAGATAAAGGACTTTCTCATCAAAGGCTAAAGCTTTTAATCTGTACGTTAACACTGACTACAAAGCCAAGT